TAGGTCGAGGTGCACGTGCTCGGAAAGCTCGGGAGAGTGCCGTGCCCGTCATTTGGACTTTGCCACCATCCACGCCTGCACATCGCTACCCTCCACGCAGCCCGCGACCATGGCGGACCACTATGTCGACCGCAACATGGCTCGTCAGTCCTACAGGCCACGGAATGTATGTCGCCCAACGCTCTACAACCGACCGCGTGTCCTCTGACCTGTGTCTTGCCTAGCTGATGTCACCGGGCCTCCAACGCGCGCGCGAGCCTTTCCGTCTACGCAACGCGATTACTGGCGTCGTCCTTGCCGGCTTCGCCGTTGGTGTATGGGCGTACTCGATCGGCGCGGTTAAGCAAGACGTGTTCGACGACGTAGACGAGGAGGCGCGCGCGCTCATGGCGGGGTCGGGCATCCAGAGCACGCCGACGGAGGCGGCGGTGAGCAGAGAGGTCACAGGCGCGTCGCGGTCAGAGTCGGAGACAGGGCTGCCTCTAAACGTCTCGTCGTCCCCAGCTGCTCCGCTGACCTCAGAGGTGCGACCGGAGACAAAGACGAGCTCAAGCACGCCACGCCGCGGGATCCTTCCGCCTTTACTCGAGCACCGGTTCCCCAGCCTGCTGGACCCCTCTTCCAAGAGTCTCGTGTGGGGCGCGCCTTCTGTGGACAACGTCGGGAAGATGAGGGATCCGGTACCCGGTAGCAAGCGGGTCATCTAGAAGAACGCAACCTCCATGACACCCGAAAAGTAATCCCCACTCTCCACCCCCTCGTTACCCGCCGCTGTGTATAGATATCGCATTGTACTCATACTAATACATCGTCGACATAGAGAACACAAAGGCATAGACGGAACAACACAGACAGCATAAGCAAGATATCAACGGATATAGCAATGCTTGAGAGCCCAAGAACATAGCACAGACACACGAGACCATCTCCTCGACTGAGGCAGCACTTCCCTTCGTATCCTGGGCATGAGCGACATCCCCAGCAAACCCTCGCACGCTGCCTGCACACCTGTGCGGGATGACCGGCGTCCGAAGCCGCGGCCATCCAGCGCGAGTCTGAAGACAAGGTGCCCGGGCTCAGATCGAGAACCGGCCCTCCAGCTGCCTAGGCGAAGGGGGGGAAAGAATCACGGCAGCTCGTTAGCGACCCATATACCCACAATCGTCGAGGCAGAGAGAGAGAGAGAGACCCACGGGACAGCAATACCGAGTTTGACGAGGCCCTCCTTGGCGGCCTCGTTCCGCGCGGCCTTCTTCGTGCTCCCGCGTCCGCGTCCGAGGCACTCGCCATCGACCATCGCGCGGACGACCCAGATCGGCGTCGTGCGCGTGCCCTCGCCCGCGCTGTCCGAGTAGACCCACTCGATGCTCTTGCAACGCTGCTGCAGGTGCTGGTTGAATAGCGACAGGTGCCCGATGCTCGCCGGCATCCGCGGCGGCGGGGGGATGGACCATGTTTGCGCCGGGTAGGCGGTCGCGCCGTTCGGGATGCCCTTCGTGATGCCCTTCGTCACCGCCGCCTCAAGGTTGGGACAGGGACCAAGTGGATACGGCGGTTCGGGTGAGAGGCCATGCTGGATACGGACGGTGCGGTAGGCGATGGCGAGGAACGGGCGGAGGAGCGGGTGGAGCCAGGACTTGACCGCTTCGAGACCTTGGTCGAGGTAGAGGCCGCCGACGAAGGACTGTGTACCGATGTGAGTGAGACAGTCATGTATCTAATGCGAGCACATACCTCGAACAGGTCCGCTTAGGGGTATAGTCAGGATAAGAACATCGCAGCGAGAACGTGATAGGTGCATACCTTGGATGTTAGCAGAGGCCTGCAAGGTGATCGCCTGCGCGGGGTGCATCCGGAGCCTCTCGGGCAGGCGGTACTGGACCGAACTGACGCATCTCATCAGTGCTTCACCGAAATGCGAAAACTAGAGGAACCCACATCCAAGCAAGGGTAGGATTGCCTACTACCAAGGCGCGTATTTTCTGCGACCGGCATCGTTCATGTGCTCGCGCTCAGTCTTCTCACTCCAGGCTCGCGATGATCACTCACCGTAGACGGCCCAACCCGTAGGCAGGGGTAGACATCCCTCAACAGGCCAGTGACCACAAGGCTCAGGACGGTATCCCCGAGATGCTCCAATCTATGGTTGTACTCGTGAGCAAGCGGAACGATCTTAGATAGCAGATCGTATGAACGCACGACTCGTTGTCCGGACTCGGATCGTCGGGCATGTCCTCGAAGACATGCGTCGGCCGTGCGTAGAAGCTCCTGTGCGTGAACACTTGAAGACGCAGTGCCTCCGAGCGGATCTCAGGTAGCGGGGGCAGCCCGTTGGGGAATTCTGGTCTATGCACAGTGCATCAGCTCATCGCGCGTCTCCGCCTAAGCTGCCCCTCGACGTACTGGAGGGGGACACGCCCATTGGGCAGAGTGGGCCCCTTCGGCAGATCGATAGCAACGTTGCTGCAAAGTACGATGAGTATAACACGATCCGTAGGGGTCCGCGGTGCCTTCACAGCACAGGCGCATGTCGGACGCACCTTCCCGGCGATGCCATTACCCGTAACCCGCACGATCGCTCTCAAACCACACGAACTCACAAGTGGCCGCACGAAGGGAACGCGGGGCCCAGGCACGCGCACGGGGCCAGAGAGATATATACGGCGCGCTAGACGAATGCTGGCGGAGCTCCATCGGACTGTGTGGGGAGTCGAGCTGAGCAGCAATTCGTGCCGGGCGATCCATCATCGACATCTGTCAGCCACGCCTTGCAGGCACGCTTGTGGGATCTCTCAGGGACGTAGTTCGGCCTTAGCCACGCCCCGCGCTCCAGGTCAATTGCCACCGATGCTTTGATTGAGGTAGCCCTACTGAAGAAGGCCAAGAGAGCCATTGACCGCGAGCTCACAGAGGTTGAGATAGCATGATAGCATATACAACATAAGATACACGGACTCGTACAGTGGGTGACAACCTTGAGCTTTTCTACGCACTGCCTGACAGTCATGCACTCGTCTCGACTGCTGGCGCCGTCGATGCAGCGGGAGCGGACTCCTTGTTCTGTTCGGCGAGAGCCTTCTCCTTGAGCTACGACGTCTCAGCGTCGCGTTTGGAGGGATGATGTCTATCAAACGCACCTTCGCCTCTGCAGCAGCCTTCATCTTGTAGTAATCCACATGCAGCCCGCACTCCGTCTTCTCCGCCTTGCCCGCCCACCTGCCCGCGCGCTCGCCCTGGTCGCCGTCCCCGCTCTTCGCGGTGCTGTGCCAGTCTCCGATGCTCCGGTAGCCCTGGTCGAGCAGCTTGTTGCGCGGCACCTTGTTCTCGTCGACGTACCACTGCACGAACGGGAACGTCCACGCGAAGAGCGGGTTGAGCTTCACGAGCCCGGTGCTGTCGACCTCCAGAGGCTGGAGATTCGCCCGGTCGGCGCCCTGCGAGGCACGCCGGCCGGTGATAACGGCCTTCACCCCGAGCTCTTCGTATGCGCGGCGGGCAGGCTCGACCTGAGCGATTGAGTAGAGCATGAGTTCCTGTGCGTGCCGAGGCGTAGATCAGGGCGCACCTTCACGACGTAATCGTACGTCGTCTCGTCCGTCTCCCAGAACTTCTCGCCGTACCGCTTCTCGAAGTCCTCGACGGTCTCGCAGCCTGCAGGTTTATAGACGTGTACGTCGCGATTGTACCGCTTCTTGACCTCCTCCACGAGCTCGTACGTCTCCGGGAAGTGGTAGAGGGTGTCGATGAAGATGAGCGGCGGCGGGTTCGGCGTGATCTTCGAGAGCATGTCGATCGCGACGAGCCCCGTGAGCCCGAAGGCGGTCGTCTGGTACAGGCCGGGGATGTGCTCGACCGCCCAGGCGAGGATCTGCTCTGGCGTCAGGTCGCGCAGGTAGGCATTGATGCGGTCGATCTCCTCCTGCGAGAGAGGGAGCTTGAGAGGCTTGTCGAATGTGGGCTTGGAGGCGTCGGACGTCGAGGGGGACATGGCGGAAACTGGTGGAAATCAAGAGTCACAAGAACGGAAGGCGATCGTAGAGGGGGTATGCGTTGTTCCGGGTGCTCCTGAGAGGTCGTCCGCTGAGTCTGTGGTAGACAGCGCCATGCTGGGCTTTCGGAGCTATAAGGCGGGACGGCGAGGGGTTATGGGCGTGCGGGGAGTGGACGACACCATGTTCGCATCATCGTGTCCGGCAACTTCTCCAGCATGATTCAGCAGGCAGCGCTCGGTCACGCTCGCTCTTTCTGCGGCCAATCGTTTCGGGGACGATTATGAGGGGAACTGACAGAATACGCAACGATATGTAGACATTTGGAATCATGGTGGGTGACAAGTTCACAGCTCTGAACTACCGCCTCCATCACTGCAGCCAGTCAGCAGCCCAGCTTTATGTACCCCAAGCCTCAGGGCAGAGCAATCACTGCAACGCATACACTAGCCCGTCCGACCACAAGGGACAGTTGTAAATGATCGATAACCCAAGCGGCTGCTTGTGGCTGGCAGGGCAGTTCCAAGTCAACCTATACGCAGCGAGGTCAGCGAGGATGCACTCTGCACGTTAGGCACACCGAAGCATGGCTTGTTGCGACAGCCACAACTTGTGAATACCACTGCTCAGCTTGCAAATTACTGCCGTTCATCCAGCTACTACGCCCTGGCTTTCGAACGGCTTCCGGGGAGAAACCTGAGCGAAAGACAGAGCAGCTGTCGCGCATGTTGCTTGGTTTCCTCATTGCATGGCACTATGGCCGGGGTCTCGGGGGTTTACTGGAGTAGTGGAACTTACCGGCGGAAAGTGCACCGATGCAGGGCGCCCTCTGCGAACTCCTATGTGGGGTTGATGACCTGCCGACACTGCATTCTGGAGGAAGGGGACGCTGTTCTGCAGCTGATCAGCCTGAAACTGCGCTGGACTGAGCCTTGAGGAGAAACGAGTGCGAGATAATGGAGGTGAGATGCCTGTTGTGTACTGGGTACTACTGTGTGGCACTACAGCAAGCCTTCGATAGCTCAGTTGGAAGAGCGTGAGACTGTAATCGGATAACTCCAAGGCATCTCAAGGTCACTGGTTCGATCCCGGTTCGAAGGATTTTTTTGGCCTTCCTCGTGTTGCTCATGGCTAGTAGCGACGGTGTGCACACGCGCAGTGCATACAGTAGAAGACGTGCTAAGGAGGCGAAGTACGCGTTGGATGTAGCAAGATGCAACAAAATATACTATACAAAGGTCGAAAACGCAATAAGTTACGATACAAAGAACAGCCGTATGTGACTACTTCCTCATCCTCTTCTTGAAACGTTCCATGACCTAGTTTGATTGAAGTGTTATGACGTACTCTATGCGTTCCTGAGGCGATGACACTCACAATCTCATCTGTCGCCATCTGGGTGCGCTCGGACGGCCGACGAACTTCGTGGTCTTCGGGATTGAGACCCATCGCCTCGAGTTTGGCGTCTCGGAGGATATCCGCATCAGACTTTGCCTTGAGATTTGGTCGGTAAACTGTGTATAGCATGAGTAAACGGTCGGTGAAAGAGGTCGCGAGGACATACATCGTGCAGCTGCAAGGTGCGCTTCGTCGTCCGCCTGCTTTCGTCGCTCTTTCCGTTGCTCCGCGATGAGGCGCTTCGCCTTCTCAGTCTCCTCGATGTTCTTCAATCGAGCACTGCGCAGGGGTCGTAAGAATTGAACCGCCGAAACTGACGAATGGATACGCACTCCATGCCCAGGTCGACCTCCGGAATCGCGGTGAGCATGGCGAGACTGTTCGTGACGCTGCCTTCCTCCTGCTGCTTCTTCTGCGTCTGGGCCTTGTACTTGTCCGTGATGCGGAAGACCTCAGCTAGAGGGTCGGCCTGTCCGTCCTCCTTCTTCTCCTCCTCCTTGGCTCCTCGTCGCAACTTCATGTTCTCCTCAATATATGCCATCCTGAGAGGGCGCGATGAGTCTGGGAAGAAGGCAACATGTGCGTAGAGGGCGAGGGGACGTACATATGCTTGTCAACATCGAGGGCATTGGTCTGGTGCGTGAAGTTGTTCTCGCGGACGACCTTCCTTGCCTTCGTCTCCGTGTCGTCCGCCTCGCTACGAAAAGACGTAGCTCAACGCTTTGGAATGCATATACCATATTGCGAGAGACGTACTCGTCGTCATTGTCATGGGACGCCCCGGGCCTCAGTCCAGCGACGACCTCCTCCTCTTTGGGCCGCTTGCGCTTCTTCTTGACGTCGCCCTTATACAACTTCGCCACATCTATACCCTCTCGCGCTTTTCGCAGCTTGCGAAGTTCGATAAGATCTGCAATGCTGAGCGCGGCATTAATGAGTACCGGTGTTACCCCGCACGCGCGACATCAGCCACCGCGCACATACTCCAGTTTCTCCTCGGCCTGCTCTTCGGACGTCCCCGCCGGCAGTGCCTCATCCTCGAGTTCGAGAGACGGCTGGCGGATTCTAGGTTGCGGACGAGAGCGTTTCTTAATCATAACGTGGAGTAGCACTCGACAGGCAAGGAGGAAGGTGGCAGAAGGGATCGAAGCGCGACATACCGTGCACTCCAGCATGTACTGGGTCACGTGCGACCACACGGGGCCGCTCCCAGCGGGGGAAGCGTGGAGGCAACAATCCACGCACGGTCGTCTTTTCACCATAAGCCCCAAGGCAACGATGTGCAAACAACAACGATATGCAATACAGGGACATAGAGCGTGGTACAGGGTTACGTAGAGTTACATAGTCACCGAAAACAGCAGAAGCATAGATAACCATAGCGCACAATATTCTACCGAGATTCGAAGCTGGAATCGGGGCCGTTGGTGGCGGTAGAAGACGTGGGATGCGTGGGGTTGTGGGTAGCAGCGACGCTGGAAAGAGGGGTCATGCTGGATAGGTTGTCGGGTTGAGGTGGCGTTGATCCTTGCGCGGTAACAAGAGCTTGAACAAGTTCGGGCGGATGAAGACCGCCTCGGCGCAAGCGAGGAGTAAGAACCGGTTCCTGTTCTCCCTCTACAGCACGAGAGCTAGACGCGGTAGGAGCCGTGGGAGGGGAAACATGGGGGGAAGTCAAGGAATGCCATAGCTGAGCGCTAGAGCTCGCCTGAGTCCGGGTAGTGGTCCAATGAGCTAGATCGATGAAGCGGCCGGGGGTGTAAGTGGTGGGCACAGAACGTCTACGGCGTGCGGCCCACGGTCTTGCAGCTTCGGTATCCGGGTCACCCGCAGCAGCATTTGACTGTGCTGTACCACTACCCGAGGCGCCGGACGGTGCGTTGCTGGAATCCGGTGGAGAATGGTCGTCCTGCGTGACGCTGTTCCTCAACAACGTTCGGCGGCGTGAGGTGAACACGTCAAAGTCTGTCCAACGGGTGCGAGACGCGCGGCGAATGCTAGGCTGACGAGTTAAGGAGGTGCTGGCGCCACCTATAGACAACGGCGGGAATCCTGAGTCTACCGGACCTTCCGGAGGAGGGGAAGACGAGCCGCTCCTCCACATTGTTTGGCGTGCCAAGGTCCCGGGGAGGTCATCGGTGGAAGGAGAGTAAGCGTCGTAAAGATCTGTGTTGATCCTGGCACCTTCGAAGGGTCCTGTGTTGAGGGCGGTCCCATAGTCTTCTTCTCCCTCTGAGTCGGACATCATCGCGCGACGGGCGGTCGCAGCGGGAGGGCGGTCCTGCGACGAGATTCCGAGATTGCGTCTTCGCATCATGCGGTTGAGCCTTTCACTTCGGTGTCCCTCGACCTGGTTCATGCTGGCTTGACGTCGAAGCATCTCGGCCGTGATCGCGGAAATGTACAGATTTTTATCATCGTCAGGACGCGCATGGCGTTCAGCCACTTCCTGTCATTTGGGGCGTGAGATACACAGATATCGAGAGGCTCAGAAACGCACCCTGACTAGGATATCAATCAACGATACTGTGAAACTGTCGCCCACGTCGAGGTCCTCCACAAAGGTCTCGTACGTTATCGTAGACCCCCTTTTCTCCAGGCTCATACGCTTGACTGACCCTTGGCTGGAAAAGTACTGGTCAGATAGAGGCTGGCGGGAAAGGGGAAGCGTACCCACACCATGCTTTTAATTTTGTTACGGAGGACACCGTCATAATGATCCAGAGTCCTGCAGCGACGGAGACACTTGGTATTTTCTTCGAGTTACGGTGTGTACAGCACTCACCATCTGCCCATGGCGGCTTGCAAGAGAGGATATGGTGGCGACGGTCAGAGTGTGAGCGTATGATGTATGTTGTACTCGGAAAGGACGATTATCTTGCGCCACTGATTGGCTTCAGTTGTTTCTATTATGCATTACTAATTGTCCGATAAGTCATGTTATCGGGGCCCATTGTCAGCGCGCGGGCCTGCGCGTTGCTGCACGCTTCTTGCCACGAACCGTCACCCTCCCTTCTCTCGATCTGCCCGGCCCTCTCGCATTCACTTGCGTAGCGGTAGGTCAACGTCATATTCATGGCTGCTGCGGTGATTTGAACGTTGCAGACGTTAGAAGGCGACTTCACGAGACTACAGAAAGACCCGGACGTACTCGGATATCCTCTTCACGCCACTCATTTACCTTGCTCGTCGACCTCTGTCGCACCCGTAGCCCACATCTGCCATGGCCTACTCTCAGCCGTTCCCCCTCGCGCAACCCATCCAGAAAGTACAGCAGCCGACGTTCGGTCCGGACCTCGCAGTCCGTCTCATTTGCCCCGAATGCCGGGACCCGAACCCGAACATTGTCGAGGAGTTCAGCAGCGGAGATCTCGTCTGTGGCACCTGTGGGCTAGTGTTGGGCGATAGGATCGTCGATACGAGGAGTGAGTGGAGGGTAAGTTGCTTTTCTCTGCCCCATGTCTTTTCTATCCGTCCGTGGGCCAGCTCCCCTCACACTGTATCTAGACGTTCGCGAACGACGAGGGGGACGACCCTTCGCGTGTCGGTGCAGCCTCTGATCCTCTCATGGAGGGCATGGAGCAACTAGACACCACGATCTCGTTCAGGGACGGCGGCTCTGGCATAGCGCGGGAGTTGCAGCGCGCAGCATCTCGTTCGGCCGCCTCCCGTTCGGAACGGAACCTGCTGCAGGCGTTCCGCGATATATCCAGCTGGTGCGACCAGTTTTCTCTTCCCAAGACCATCTCCGATATCGCCAAACAACTGTACAAGCGATCGGACGAGGAGAAGCTGCTCCGTGGGAAGCCCCTCGACGCCGTCATCGCGGCGTGCATCTTCATCGCTTGCAGACAAGCACACGTACCCCGGACGTTTCGCGAGATCTGCAACCTTACCCATGTCAGCAAGAAGGTGCTGGGGCAGTGCTACAAGGCTCTCGAGCAGGCCTTCAACTTGACTCCGGGCGCGTCGCAGGACCGTCATCTGAACGCGCCAAGCGGGACGACCGGTGCCGAGGACCTCCTGGTCCGGTACTGCAACCACCTCGACCTACCCCCCAACGTCCAGCCCATCTGCGCGGACATCATCGTCAAGGCGCGCGAGCTCGGCATCGCGGACGGTCGCTCACCTGTCTCTATCGCTGGTGGAGCCATATACTTCACTTGCTGCCTGCTTGACAAGCCCAAGACCGTCCGGGAGATCAGCACGGTTGCAGGCGTCAGCGAAGGTACGATCAAGCTGGTGTACCGCCTCTACTATGCGGAGAAGGAGAAGCTGGTGAAGGAGGAGTGGATCAGGGACGGGAAGGCCAAGCTGGAAAGGCTTCCGGTCGAGAGTGGGTCGAAATGAGGAGGCGGGTGTATCATACTTGGATTTTAATTCTACTATGCCCTCTGTATGTACGTGTATGATTCAGGCAATCCTATATCATGTGAACACATGTTACAACCGCGCTGTGAAATACATGGATTCTCCGAAATGAAGAAGTCGTTACAAGCCAAAACGTTGGGAGGGGAGGCATTGTAGTACAGGGCCCGAAGGTAGATTGCTTCACCGCTTCCCCTTTGTCTTCTTCCCCTTGCCACCACTTTTCCTGGCAAGGGCAGCACTACCCTTGCCCTTGCTCGCAGAGCGGATTGCCTTCCTCACGTTGAGAACGTCCGAACCACCAGACTCCTGGGACGACTTCTTCGACTTCTTCG